CCCCACCCCCCCCCACTGATTTGTCGGAGTCCCCACCCCCTGCCACGGATTCGTCCTATGCCCCAATCCCTCCGAAGCCGAAGCCTCCACTTCCAGAGCCCAAGCCTCTGCCATCGCAGTCGCCTGCAACCCCCCCCAACCCCGTACTAGTACCATCTTCACCCAGTCCCACAAATTTGTCCCAGTTTTGGACGTTCAATCTCAGCTGCACTGCTCCCGATCTTGAGGTGGGAATCACAGAAGACTGTTCCATAAAGGAGGGCAGGAAGCTACTCTTTGTCCTCAACGAGATCCGAATACGAGATGGTCTTCCTCCCCTCACGACATCGCCTGTCCTCGAGGCAGCTGTACGTCTTGACCTCCTCACGGTTATTGGCTGCGACACATGCGATGACAAGGCAACCGAATGCATCAAGAAATGCAACGTGGAGTCAAATCGTAATGCTTGCCGTGATCGATGCGGAGCAACGTATGAGATCTGCAAGCGGACGGAATGTTTGGAATCCCCTCTTTTTTACCTCGATTGCTGTTCTTGTTCTAATCCAGCCACACCATCTGCTGGCAGGCGTTTGGGGCCAGCAGAAGAAAAAGCTAAAGCAAGGTGCCCTCGAGTACAAAGCAGACTTTCTCAATATACCCCTGTAGGCAGCTACAAGCCAAACTATCCGAGAGCTGCCAAGTGTGCGGCATGTGGCAAATGCTACAGGAAAGAGCCACTGGATAGATACGACTTTACCGCTCTCTGCATATTTTGCGAAAAATGTCCCGGTGCATCAACCCCCATTCAGCGCCCACAGTGACCTCTTGAAGCAGTTGGTTGCTCGCGCAAAGCCACCTGCCCGAGGTGTTGACTTGCACTCTGCTAAGTCTGCTTTCCCTAAGCAGGTCATATATGCTTGAGCGGAGGAGGAACAGTTACTAACTGTTACCTGCTGCACGGCAGTAGAGTCAGTAGACGGCGCTCTCCAGTCTGAAGACTGTGAACTTCGTCTTCCCTGTTGCGGGATTTCCGACTTTGCCTTCCCCCATTTTCCACTACCATTAACTTAAAATAGTTGATAATTCAACTTTGCAGATTCGTGTCAGCAATCTGCAGCCCTGAAACACAGACCAGAGAGAGAGAGAGAGGATGAGACACGGAGAGAGAGAGAGAGAGAGAGAGAGAGAGAGAGAGAGAGAGAGA